TATTACTAATATTATCCTCCTGGGGCTTTTATTCAAAAATAACTGGCAATTTTTTAACTACAATGGCTTTACATGATGACAAATGAAGCAAGCAAACAAGCACCTGACTAAAAGACTTCTAAGAAAAACTTCTAGAATGAGATGTCCATAGATGATTTGAAAGTCCAACATATTCCTGTCATGTTCTTGACAAGAAGTATATTGTGTCAGATGCCATTCATTTCCTTGACAAGCTTTCTAGTATTAGGAATATTTTAACTATCTACTAACTTTGAATAAATCAGTTCATTCTTGTCTTCATGACTGACTGCTTTAGAAGAATGTAGGTCAAGAACATGCAAAGCGCTGTGTACACGGCTCAAGAGAGAGCTGGGAAAGTCCAAATCTCCTAGCTTTCATTGATCCTGACAGTCTACACAAGCATAAAATATAGACTAAAGCAGAGTTGTCAACTGCCTGGTAGCATTGAAGGCATGTACCAACATGCACACAGTTCATAAGCAAAGGTTGGGAGGGTTACTGGTTTTAAAATCTCAGTCCAAACATGAACTGTCCACTAAGCTAACCCAGCATTCAGTAAGCCACACACAAGAAAAAATACAGATCATATAAAATTAGTTCAGAAAAATCATTAAACAACAGTGAGAACAAATCCTGGGAGGTGAAATCTTATTTCCAGTCTTGCCACATATTAGCATATCTAACTTTCAACCAAAAAAATTGTAATACACAAAAAGAAACAGAAAAGTGTGGCTCATTGGTTAGAAAAAGTTAGTCAATACAAACTACTTATGAGAAAGCCCAGAGGTTGTACTTAAGGAAGACTTTACATCAGATGCTATAAATGTTTAAAGAACTAAAGGAAACCATGTCTAAAAATATTTTTAAATTATAAGAATAATGTCTCACTAAATAGAAAAAAATCAAGATACAGATTATTTTAAAAACTGGAAAGTCTGCAAGTAAGTGGAATACTATCTCTCATATGTCTCTTTCAACAATGTACAGAATAATCATAAAAAAGATCAATAAGATAACAGAAGATGGAAATGCTATAAACTAGATCTAAAAAGGTATCTATAGAAAACTGCATCTAATAACCAAGTAAAACAGTGATATTTTCGAATTCACATGATTAAACATATGGTCCATGAGGTACAAATCAAATGTAGTTGACTCAAATGTAGTTGCATATATAGTCTGAAGGCTGACATCAGAGGACAACTATCATGTACCTTTTTCAGTGCTCTTCTCAAATTTATACCATAAACTTATATAACACTGTTATGTAAATACTGAGGCACATGACTTATCCTTCTCTCATACTGTAAATCTTTTGGAGCTGTAAGGTTTTGACTTTAATGTGGCTGTACACCCTAAAATAGCAGTTTCCTAGATTTGTGTTTTGAATCCTTTAAATTAAAAACAGAAAATTTGGTGATGAAACCCCATCATTAAATAACTTAAATTTTTGTTTTCACAAGTAAAAACGCTAATAAAAGCCATCACCATATACTATCATTCTCATTTCAGAAAAAGAAAAATATTTTGTTCATGAAATCATACAGTAGCTTTGTATCTTCTCATTTCACCACAGAACAGTAAAAATTTCAGCTTACACCAATATTTCAGACTTGTATCTGGGGCCCATAATCCCTAGAATACCTAGTACGATGCTAGAATACAACTGGCCTTTAAGTAAATCAAGAGAGAATATTCTTTGGTATTTAACCCAAACTTGTAAGAGATTATTTACTGTGTATCATATTTAAAATAAAAACAATATAGAACAATATTAACCAACCAGATGTCCCACAAAATGCACGAACTATTAATAACTATGGAAATTATTCTGAATTAGGAAAATTCCAGTCTTACACAGAACTTGTCCTTAATAAATTCTGATGACAGAATGGTAAGGCATAATTGGCTAGAGCTGGCCAAATATGTCTATATTGTATATTTTAAATACTAATGATTTATTAAATACAAAGATACAAGACAAATGTAGGCATTACCTGATAGTCTCGCAGACCAACCAATATAATGTCTGAGGTATTTATCCAAACCTATAAAGGAAAATTTATTGCATATTATATCCAAAATAAAAACAAATTAATAAAGAGCAATGTTAAACCATTCTTCCCACAGAAAATATGTACTATTCAACAGTGTCCAGAAAAATATAAGATTAGGGAAAAACTACAGTATACATTATTATTAGTTTTCTGTGTTTGTGTGAATATATATGGGGGAAAAAGACCTAAATGTATTATCTACCATATTCCAATTTTTTTTTTNCACAGAACTTGTCCTTAATAAATTCTGATGACAGAATGGTAAGGCATAATTGGCTAGAGCTGGCCAAATATGTCTATATTGTATATTTTAAATACTAATGATTTATTAAATACAAAGATACAAGACAAATGTAGGCATTACCTGATAGTCTCGCAGACCAACCAATATAATGTCTGAGGTATTTATCCAAACCTATAAAGGAAAATTTATTGCATATTATATCCAAAATAAAAACAAATTAATAAAGAGCAATGTTAAACCATTCTTCCCACAGAAAATATGTACTATTCAACAGTGTCCAGAAAAATATAAGATTAGGGAAAAACTACAGTATACATTATTATTAGTTTTCTGTGTTTGTGTGAATATATATGGGGGAAAAAGACCTAAATGTATTATCTACCATATTCCAATTTTTTTTTTAAAATATATCTTTATTGATTTCAAAGAGAGGAAAAGAGAGGGAGAGAGAGAGATAGAAATGTCAATGATGAGAGAGTCACTGATCGAGCCCGAAACCCGGGCATGTGCCCTGACCGGGAATCGAACCCTGATTGCCTGGATCCCAGGTCGATGCTCAACCGCTGAGCCACGCCCAGCTGGGCCCATATTCCAATTTAAAACTTCCTGCACAGACAGCATGGCTCAACAGTTGAACACTGACCTATGATCCAGGAGACAAAGGTTTGATTCCCCGTCAGGGCACGTGTCCATGTTTCGGGCTTGATCCCCAGTAGGGGGCATGCAGGAGGCATTCGATCAATGACTCATCACTGATGTTTCTCTCTCCCCCCGCCCCACTCTCGCTTCCTCTCTCTGAAACCAATAAAGACGTACTTTTAAAAGAATAAAAAACAAAATAAAATAGACTATTACCTTAAAAAATAAATAACTAAAACTTCCCTAATATGCACAGCTGTTTCTCATAAACCAAAATCTAATCAAGGAAAATGCACTATATTCAATTAGTACTCTCTTTAGTCTCCTTTAATCTGAAAATAATTCTCTAGCTTTTATTCTTTATTTCAGGGCATAATTTTTTTTAAGAGTCCACTTTTTTAAAGAATTATTTTGTAGACGGGATTTGCTTCATTGTTCCTTCTACAGTATATTCAGAGTAAGTGTTTCTGGCAGAAATACCACAGGTGAAGCAAATAATTCTTTGTAAATGTAATTTTCTATTATAAAGTTCCTATCAAAGATCTTATTTTACATTGTCTTACAAAGCACTATTCTTAGGACTGTCTTTGGAAACTCAGAAAAATGAGATGATTGGCCCATATATATCTAAAACAGAACCATTCTTTTAAATAAAAACAACAAACTTTGTATAAAGTAAAACAAATCTCCACACTTACCTTTTTTCTCAGTTTTCCTCTGATATGACATAATCTCTTAACACCATCAAAGCACATTGCTTCCAATCGCCCATTTCCCAACATTTTGATTACCTGAGCATACTCTGAGGTGGGGGAAAAAAACAAAATACTGTTCGATTTTTCTTATAATGTTAATATCTGAAATTAACACACAGTTGATAACTTCATTTTGCCTGCTCAATTCAGATCAAACTATAATTTTTTTTACAAGGTAAGGATTAATAAGCAAAAAGCTTAATTATTCTACCCTGAGATAGCTTTTTAAAGGTGATACATATTCTAATTTTATCCAAAAACCAGAGAACTCTTCAAAAGCACATTCTTTAGTAATTTTATAAGTACCTGAAACTGCGGGTTTTCAATTCTGAATTCTACTGTCATGTTGTGGTAGACAGAATTCTCAGATGACTTCTAAGATTCCCACCCCAGTGTACACGCATAGTGTGATCTCCTACACTTAAGTGAAGATGGAACCTTTGAATATAATGGGCTAGTCATATCCTTGATTAGGTTGTATCACATGGCAAATGGTGATGGGTTAGTCACTTCCGTGACTATGTTCCATTACACAAGAGTGGCAGGGGACTGGAAGCATGAGATGCTATAGAGTGAGCCACACTGAGATTGTTCCCAGCCTACAGCCAGGAAGAGAACAGAAGTCCTCCAGCCAAAGAGAAATGAACTTAGTCAATAACCTGCACGACACCTTGATTTAAACTTTGAGATCCTGAGCAGAGAAACCAGTTTGGCCCTGCCCAGACTTTTTACCTACAGAAATTGTAAAATAAAAAATGGATGTTCTTTCAAGCCACTAAAAAAATATTTCTATAGTCTCTTCCAATTATGCTTATTTTTCACTTGTTTTTAAAGTAAATGAAAGCCTACAGAAATCAATAATTTGTCACCAGTGGCATTTCCAGGTCAAGTTATCTCTTATGAGGAATATTTTAATTATCTACTTATTTTGAGTAAATCAGTTCACTATCTTCATGATTGTATGTTCTATTTTTTGTAAGAAAATGACTCATTCCAAAATGTACAATGTTAACTCTGGCTTACCAATCTTTCTCATTTAGATACTGGCCCAATCCTGGCTCTCCTTTCCCTCAGAAACTTTAGTGACAAAAACTGGAGGTTAATTAGTAATAGACATTTTTTTACTTTAGAATACCTTAGCAATTAAAGTTCTTAAACAATGTTCCTGACACAATGCCAAATATTTAACTGAAATATTTCCAATATCCTCCTCAAGAGGCCAACTGATTCCACTGCCACTAGAAAAGACTGATAATACATGAGAATTAGACAGCATGGGCAATCTCTTTCTAGGTAGAAACGACAAAAGCAGGAGAATGGGAGCAAGGGGAAACAGGTAATTACTATAAAATTTTCACACTACTAATATTTGCACTAAGAATCCCCAGAGAGAGCCTGCACAAATTTATAATTATATTGAGAGATAAACCAGATATACACTGTGAGATTGATATGTGGCAGTGAGTCCCTTTTATCACAGCCAATAAGCCTAGCTTACTGCTACCCAGTACTACTTCAGCATGGGGGAAAAGGAGAAAAATTTAGAAAATCAGTGCTGGAAATAAACTTTTAATGGAAGATAAAAGCTAAGTAACTGACAGTCTTTCACCAGAAAACACATTTTATATAGCTAATAAAAATGTTGGCTCCTTGGTGCTTTGCACGTATGGCACATGGTTTTGTTATAAAGTGCTGGAAATTATTGAAACAACTGAAGAAACTGGATATAAATTGTATACTGGGTCAGCAATATCCAACAGAATTTTCTCTGTTGATGGGAACATTGAACAATAGGATAATCAGCAGCTCAAAATTTTGAATTTCAATTCACTTAAATAACTACATAAGGCTAGTGGCTACCACAGTAGACAGAACAGTACTAGAAAACAGTATAATTCTAATGTTTGTTTATTTGAGAGAGGAAGGGAGACAGAGAAACATCAATGATGAGAGTCATTGACTGGCCGCCGCCTACTGGGGTTCGAGCTGTAAACCCAGTCATGTACCCTGACAGGGAATCGAACTGTGACTTTCTGGTTCATAGGTCAATGCTCAGCCACTGAGCCATGCCAGCTGGGTGAAAAGAGTATAATTTTAAAGTCAATTTTTTGTGGTAGTTCTGTTGTTATAAAAGAAAAAGTCCTTATTCTTAGGAGATATTATGCTGAAGCAGTTAAGGTTAAAATCTGTAACTGTATGTAATTAGACATCTGTAAGAAAGTTTAAAAAGTTAGAAAAAAATGTACATGTGTACAAAAAGAAAATGTTAAAAATTAGTGAATCTGGGTTAAAAAAATGGAAGTTTATGAACTTATATTTCAACTTTTCTATAAATTTAACATTATTTAATGTAGAAAATCAAAAGCTACAATTTATTACTTTCAGTTTTGTATCCTGGACTGCAGTAACTTAACCCAATAGTATTAAATCAATTATTCAGTTGTTTTGTTACATTGTATACTAGTAGAAGCAGAAAACTGAGAACCAAAAGTCCTCACAAACATCCACAGGTCTACTGAATAATGTGTAACATTACTAACTACCATCCTAGAGTATGAAATATTCAATGACAGCATTCAGGCTCTACTTGCTCTAAACCTTGTAATTCACTGTCGGTTAGATCATGCTCTTCTATGCAAAACAATGAAGCATATGGTTATAAAAATGCCACCAATTAATCTTCTACTCAGACCTAGTAGATAACTGATTACTAATAAACAAATTCTGGAGAAGTATAAAAGATTACAAATAAGGAAAAACAAAGTGGAGACATTGGAATAACTACTTAGGATTATGATTATGAGTCCTTTCAGGATAAAGACTAAAAATTCACACTAAAAAAAACTGTTAAAAACTTTAAAAAGACTTACCTTGTCCATCCTCTTTAAAGACCAACTCTCGTTTTTCAGATTCATTCTCATTCTTACCTCTACGCCTATTTTTACCTCCTTTACCTAATTAAGAAAGTGAATTAAAAAAATTAAATATAACAATCTATATTTTACAGACTAAATTATAAAACAAGCTAGAATAAGGGCCATAAACTTTACAAAATCATGGAAGAGAAAAATAAAAAATATCATTTAAATAGCACTATAACACTAACAGAACTCTAGGTAAGACTTTTAAATATTTACTTCATTTGGTTACCCAATCAGTTACACTTTAATGTACCAAAGGTTCCCTTTGTCTTTTACCAGATTAAGATATATCAACCTCCTATCCTTTTCAACATTTGTATTTTGGATTTTTCTGACATAAAAGTCTGTCTCATATAAAAATATGCCAAGTGAAAAATTTTATCATCAGAGAAAACTATTAACAACTTACGGTTTATGCTTTCCAAATAAAAATAGAACGCTTTTATAATCCCACTGAAAAATTTGTCCTAAATGTCTTTTAATGTCAATAACCACACACTGAGACGGAGAGTTTAATGATTAGAGTATATTTAATCCCTTATTTTGGTTATTTTTAATGTTATACTGTTGTCAAATGATGAGCTGAAAATTATTCCACATGCCAAGCCGGGCGTGCCTCAGCAGTTGAGCATCGACCTGGGATCCAGGCGATCAGGGCTCGATTCCCGGTCAGGGCACATGCCCGGGTTGCGGGCTCGATCAATGACTCTCTCATCATTGATGTTTCTATCTCTCTCTCTCCCTCTCGTTTCCTCTTCTGAAATCAATAAAAATATATTTATAAAAAAAAAAGAAAAAATTATTCCACAAAAAACATCCAGAGGACAAATTTACACAGAATTTCTGGGTTAAAGGTTATGTATTCACTTCCTTAGGCTTTTGATGAGCTACACAAATTTACATGCCCATCACTAAAGGAGGATTATTATTTAGTCCTCTACTATACCCATACCATACTCAAGGTATAAAATGATACTTCAACTATTTTTCAATGTTTGCTTTTATTAAAGTTGAACATATATGAATGGCATTCTATTTCACTGTGAGAGTTTCTACTGAATAAACAAGGAACTGGGTACTTCTCCCCAGCATCTTACTATTTAAGGAGCTAAACCACAAGAGTGGTCATTTACAACAGGTTAAAGAAAAGCTTTAAGTGGTAATAATAGGGACATCTGGGAAGCGTTAGAAACAAAAACTTCATATCCCAAGCAGAATTAAAAATGTGCACCTGCCACTGTAAAGACAATTTTATATCTTCTTGAATGCACCTTCTAGGATAGTCCCCTTCTGGAGCAGTCTTCCATTGTTCTGTGCTATAGTAAAAGGGAAGTGGGCCTCCCCAGGTTCTCAACCCATCTGAATTCACTATTTTATGCATTCTTAGGATACATGAAAACTGATTTCCTAAAGAAAACAGTATTCTATATTTCAAGCCGTTAGTCATGCCAGTTCCATTAGAACAAATAGTTCATTCATTTGTAAAGGAATGGCCATTTTAAAGTAATGTGTAGCAATACCCTTAACGTGTAGGAGCATCTTACCCCAAATGCTCTTCATGAATGGGTCAGAGGATGCCCTTTTACCTGGTTTGAAGATAGGTTTCTAAGATTTCTGAAGAAAACAAGCTGAATGAAAATGAGCCCAAAGCAACAATTAGTCAATCTATGGTGCAGTGTAATTTACATACTTATATGGGTAACCCTCACCAATACCATGACCACTGAACATTTAGATTCTGAAAGGAAAACAATACTTTTGTGTCTACACTAGTAATCCTCACCTAAGGAAATTTAGGACTTTAAAAAAAAAAAAAAAAC